GTTTTGTTTCAGGAACACGCAATTTCATAAATGACGTTTTTCTGTTTATTGTTGGTAGGTTTCTGTTTGTTTTTCACAAGAATCGATCTTAGTGTTTTATAAGGTTTCCACCGTATGTCTATGTTGAATTTCTTAGCTTTTCGTTGAGTTTTTCACTGACATTTTTCAGGTATGGGAGATATATGGTTGTAATGGTAGTGGTTTATTTACTTTTCTTTTCTGTTGTGGTCTTCTTCAGGGGGTTTTTGATGAAGGAAGAGATGTAACCATTCTGTTTAAAACACTGTATGATGTTTTGGCATTCTGTTTCGATGGATGTGTTATAGTAAATGTTTTCTGCACTCTTGTTTAGGCACTGGATTATACCATGTTTTATCGAGTTTGGATGATAGGACTGGAAGTGTAGGTTCGTGTGGGTGGGTTTTCTGTATACAGTTGTGGTGATTTTTTCCTCTTGTCTGCTGATCACTATGTCAAGAAATGATAAGCAATTTTGTTCCTCAATTTCCATGGTGAAGTGAATATTCTTGTCTATGGAATTAAGGTTTTCACGACTGTGGGGCCAGATAACAAAAGTGTCGTCAACATAACGTCTTTAGAAACTTGGTTTTAAAGGTGTGGATAGGAGGGCTATTTCTTCAAAGTCTTCCATGAAAATGTCTGCTAAGATTGGGGAAAGTGGTGATCCCATGGCTAGACCATCTGTTTGTTCGTAGAATTCTTTATTGTATTGTAAATAAGTTGATTGTAGGCAAATAGTCGTTTAGTTCCATGATGACGTCTATCTTCATGTCAGTTCTACGTGGTAGAGAGTTGTCATTCAGCAGTCGTTGTCTGGTGATACGAAGAGTTTCTGAGGTCGGAACATTGGTAAATAGGTCTGTGACGTCAAAACTGACTAGAATATCCTTAGATATGATGTGTGGCTTTTTGAGTTGTTCTATGAAATCTGTTGAGCTGTGAATGCGGTATTCAGTATTCCCTCGTAGTGGAGATAAAATAGGTACCAGGAATGTTGTTAGTGGATGGCAAGGTGAGTTTATAGCACTGACGATAGGCCTTAAAGGTATATTATATTTGTGTACTTTAGGTAGTCTGTAGACATGAGGGGGGAAATTCTCATTGGTTCTTAAGTCTTTGGCTAACTTCTCATTGATTAAAGTTTGTTCAGTGTTCTGTTGATGAGTCTTTCTGTCTTTTCCGTAGGGTCATTGGTGCTTTTTTTTGTATTGGTGTTTGTCTAGTAAATGCTTGATCTTCGAGTCATAATCTTTGACGCCTAAGATGACTATACTGTTTCCTTTGTCTGCTGGTAGAATCTTGATAGTGTCATCCCGTCTTAGACGGTTCAGTGCATTGTATTCCTGTTTGGTGATGTTAGGTTTTGGTTTCTTGGCGTTCCTGAGGATGGTGTAAGTTTGATGTCGGAATTATTCAGCCATGGGTTTCAGGAGGTTTTGTCATAAGGCTTAGTAAATAGGTCTATTATATAAGTGCTACATTCATTATTTAGTCCCTTAGGGACTTTTCAAGAATTATAAGAATGTATAATAATAGTATTTAAACTACACTGTATTTGTTATATCCATCACCAACAATGCGTTTTGTTCAATCCAGAGCTTTTTAGGCTAGCTGAACAAGTGCCACAAGTAGAAATCAAGCTTACCCGTTGAATTCAGGTGTGCATTTTTAGTTTAGTGTATACCTGGAGATCAACAAGTGTAGAAATATTTGGAAATCAGCGTCTCTAGTTCAACAGAAGTGTATCCTAAGAGAAAACAAATTGTGTAGCTAATCATAATCTACTAGAAGTACCTGCTTTTAAGTGCTGAAATACGTATGCTGCATTTTCCCTTTGCCTCCTTGATAATAACAGTTGTGTTAGTTTGAATAAACTTGTCCACTCTCATTATCTTACGTACACTAGGAATACTCAGACCAATATTATATATATATATAGTTTATTACACTGTTTGTTATATTATTGACTGCAGAATGTTGTTTTACTTCAAATATACATTCATTTGAAAATGTCATACAAACGTACGTTTAATTTATAATTTAAATGTACCTTTTTACTCAGTTTTATGAGGTAAAAGTTAAAATAATTTGTATTTTATGAGAGTAAATATTTAAATCTATTTCCTGAAAGTTTCTACCTAAATCATGTAGGTTATTAATTACATTTTGTGAAACAACATGTCGATGCATATAATCATCAGTTAATAAAAGGTTTACTCGAGTTGGAAAATTTCTTACAAATAAAAAAAACAATTATTACTGGGAAAAACAAAATTTACAAGCTGAACATTTTACTGAAACAGGTAACATAAATTTTCTTTTGTCCCATTGTACTGCTTTATCACAACATTATCAACATTGTAATGTTACAATATTAGATTATTATGTAATCTGCTCATGAAAAATACTCTAACCTTTCAACCACTAATAATAAGGTGTTACAGAAATGCTAACATGCTAACTACATACTCACTGTCGTGATAGAAAATTTTATGTAATGAATCTTCGTCTATTTTAAATTGAGTGAAGAAGACAGCTCAATTCATAAAACATCACCTACATGTTGTGTTAAATACACTTTTAATTTATATTACTCACCTGTAAATCCTAATTGTTTCAAGCTTTCTGGAGTGAAGAGCGCCGAACAATGTTTTGTGACAACTATGTTAACTTTAAAGTGAATTTGGATTTCTCGTAGATCATCAGAAACTAGAGCTTTCAATACATTTGGTGCTGGTGCTTTGACACGAAAAGCTTGGACTGTATTTTGCCACATAGCTCTGTAAAATAAATGAATAAATATAAATAATGTAATAAAAATGACAGTTCTAATTCTAAAGTATCACGCTTAATGAATGAGAATTAAACTACAAGAAAGGTGGTTGTATAACCTACTATACTTCAGACTTTCAGATGTGACAAACTTGTTTGGGTGTTCGGTAAAGCTTAACAACCATCACGTAAACAAATATGATTACAAATTCAAATGTGTCAACAGTTTACAGTTTTGTGTTTTTTATTACTGATGATTAGGTAATTTTTTTCTTTAAATGTTATAATAAACCAATTATTTTTTTCGCATTTGATTAGTTCGTGACAATAATTTTTTCATATTTATGCAGTTGGTGACAGTAATTTGTTTTCGTATTTGTGCAGTTAGTGACAGTAATTATTTCGTATTTGAGCAGTTAGTGACAGTAATTTTTTCGTATTTGTGCAGTTAGTGACAGTAATTTTTTTTGTATTTGTGTAGTCAGTGACAGTAATTTTTTCGTATTAGAGCAGTTCGTGACAGTAATTTTTTCGTATTTGAGCAGTTCGTGACCATACTTTTTTCATATTTGAGTAGTTCATGACAGTAATTTTTTCATATTTGAGCAGTTAGTGACAGTTTTTTTTACATACTTGTGCAGTTCGTGACAGTAATTTGTTTGTATTTGAGCAGTTAGTGACAGTAATTTCTTTGTATTTGAGCAGTTCGTGACAGTAATTTTTTTCGTATTTCAGCAGTTCGTGACAGTAATTTTTTTGTATTTCAGCAGTTTGTGACAGTAATTTTTTCTTATTGAGCAGTTCCTCACAGTAGTTTTTTTCGTATTTGAGTAGTTCGCTTCAATAATTTTTTTTTCGTATTTGAGTAGTTCGCTTCAATAATTTTTTTTTCGTATTTGAGTAGTTCACTTCAATAATTTTTTTTTCGTATTTGAGTAGTTCGTTTCAATAATTTTTTTTCGTATTTGAGTAGTTCGCTTCAATAACTTTTTTTCGTATTTGAGTAGTTCGCTTCAATAACTTTTTCGTATTCGAGTAGTTTGTGACAGTATTTTTTTTTCGTATTTGAGTAGTTCATGACAGTATTTTTTTTCGTAGTTGAGTAGTTCGTGATAGTAATTTTTTTCGTATTTGAGTAGTTCGTGACAGTAATTTTTTTTCGTATTTGAGTAGTTCGTGACAGCAATATTTTTCATATTTCAGGACAGTATCCCAAAACTTCGAGAATTATGTTTTATTTTTACTATACTCATAATGATATTGTTACGTATCTGGTCGTTTGCTAACTTCCGGTATAAATTCTTTCAGCGATACAAGTCCTTTCTTAATTAAAACTAGTTTATTCTTTCTTGTTACATACTTTGTAATACACTTAATTTCCACAGACATTTTAAACTTAACTACTTTTATAAACACACACTTTAATTCACAGCGGTTCACACAATTTACTTACGGTGCCTACTGCTCGCTTGACTCGATTATTTCTCTTAAACCTATCTCCGGCTTATATACTAAAAAAGAGGGCGTCTAGCAAACGCTGGGGCATTCGTGAGATTACCCACTAAGTCACGATCCTTCTAGAAACTCCAGCGCACATGCTCCCAGTGTCACGTG